TTCCATATTTTATCTCAACTTTCATCTATCTAACACCATTATCGAGATTAAGGAAAGACAGACGGACGACAATAGGAATTTATAGGTTTACAATTTTTTTCAAATTGTAGCCCAATTACTATAAAAATGGCAAAAGGCTTAATTTTGAAAGAAATGTGTTTTATTGTAAATGTTAAACATCAATAAAATATCTAGTACTGTATTCATTAAATCTGTTCCCACTCGACCCACTCTATCTATAACCACCAAAATCTCATAGCGTCAATCCCATTAATAAACAGATCTCCTTGCAAACTTTCATAAATTTTCGACAGAGAACACAAGAGTTATTAAATGGATGAAAAATTGCATCACACACACTAACAACCATATATATAGTAAATCCTCAACCTTTTTTGCATTTCTTGACGTTTCAGGGTCCCCCGAATTCAAAGATGTAAAAATCTTGGAGAGGGGCTCATTTTTGACTGATCTTAATACATTCCTTCTGTTATATAGAATAGCCGGAAAGTAAAAAGGGAATCACAAGCTATAAAAAAAGACGTTATATATCATGCAAGAAACTTGAAACTATGGTTCAATGTCGGATCAGCGCTCCCACAAAGTGGCGCTGTTTGTAATCAGGACTACTTCTGGCCAAGTTTTGGTCAACATTCGATAAAGTTGCATGGGAAAATGGATAAATATCATTCATTAGTTTCTTTTGTATTTGTAGACTAGGCTAGAGGTCATAAATTTTGTGCTGTATGTTAATGAAATTTGGGGCCTCCTTAGGAAAAGGCAATCCAGACGAAAAGGGGGCACGTACCCCAATGTACAGGCCAGGTGATTCAACGCATCGAACATTAATTAACATTATCTTTAATTATATAATAAAAGAATACGTTCTCTGCCTATAATTAATTATTATACTCTCGTATCGTTATGTAATATTTCATTTATTACGTCGTATACGACGTATATGTGTTAAGAAAACGTCGCCTTAATAATAATGTATTCATTTGTATTCATTCGGTCTCGGATACAATTTCATAAATAATTTCATAAGTAAACATATTGTTTGTGTTTTAAATGCGCTGTTGCAATTGAGTTATTTCGAAATTAATTTATTTGTTTTAAATTCTTAGAAACTGTCAAAACGTCGAATCGAAATTTATTTACTGTAAGGAATTTCAACAGAAACGGAGACAATTCGAATTTTTGGAAATTCGATAATTATTTTAAAATAATAAAATTTTTCATTCTTTTCAAAACTTCCATTTTATAATACAGTATTAATAGTTTAAAAAGAGACGGCTGAATGGCCGAGCGGATACGATGGAAGCTTACTGTTTTGGGACCCGGAATCAAATTCGGACGGGTCGAAACAACCCAGGAATTTTTGGGGGTTGGTCTGTCCGGATACATCGGGCCCCGTCCCTCATTACTCGGGGCCTTATTAAAAAGTCCTGTTAGTGTTCATAGAGCGGAGAGAGTTTAAAAAATAGTTAAAAAACATTATGACACGATGGACATTTTCCATGAGAAATGTAATCGGACTTTAATTTAATACATTTTTCTTGTCTGATCATAACATTTCCTTGTATTGTTATTTAATATTATTTTTCAAAAATATTCAAATTCCTAATTATTAAAATATTAAGAGATCGCAATTTACGAAGGATGAATTTCTGGAGTATGCACGTAAAACTTTGCTGTAATTTTAAAATTTAAAAACTTTCAAGGTTTAATTAAATTTCCCATAAAATTCGGAGAATGTGATTCCTCGAACTCTTAGTTATTTACCAATGTAATAAATTTAAATAAAAATTAGTTTAATTTTTATAAATAAGATGCATTTTATAATTAACATAAATAAAGTAAAATCAAATAAAAGTTTCATTAGAAAACTTTAAATGAGTATTTTAAATATCTGTGTCGGAGGAAAAGATAGGAATTATAGTCTTTATATTAGCTAAAACGAGACCAGTATTAACCTACATCTCTAAGTATCCGGGATCAAAACATGTATAAAATCACAAATTATAATCTTTAAAACTACATAATAGTGATTATTGTTTTATTTATAAAAATTTTAATGAAATTTGAGTTGCTTTTTTAAATGAAATTGTAGGTTAAATATAAATAAACACATAACATTGCACTCTTGCGTACAGTACTGATATATTGTTACCTTGATAACTCAGTTTATATGCCGTAGTTATCATCAGTTATCTGATACTTTCGTTTACTTTTGCGATAAATTATATTATGAATTAAAACTATAGTATTAGACATAATTCTCTTCTATTTTCAGTTATTTTAAATCTACTGAAACCATTCATTATAATTAAATGGAACGAAATGTAGATAAAAAAATGTCTCATTTTAATAATTACTGGTATTACTTACAACGAGTATCCATTACAACAATTATATATTTTAATTTTAATCGAACTGTTTTCCACCAGTTATAAAATGCAACACCCAAATTTTTAATAAATGAAAAAGCAATTAAATCTACTATAGTTTAAAATAACAAAACGTAGTTTGGCTAGAATGGCTAAAGCAAGTGGGTTAAAGGCCAGATCAATGTAGATTTTCAGAAATTTTAATAGTTGTTTTGATGCGAATATGTCAAGCCCGGTCCTTTATCGTTCGGCCTTCCGATTGCGAGTCTAGAACACTTAATGGTTATTTGGAAAAAAAACAAGCTCTCTTAATGCCTCTTAGGAACTAAAAGAATTTAAAAAAATGTAAATTAATTATCATTTTTAATTTTTTATTTATTATTTTAAAATAATGTGTCAATCTTTCAATATACAGGTATACAGGATCTTCCAAAGTGAATGTTGCGTTTCGTTTTCGTTTGTTTGTTTATGGCAACGCAACACTTGGGCGATCTGCCTAGGAGAGATGCCTTCCGGGAGGTCTTTTTAAGGGAAACTGGCCCCTATTTAGGCGTTACAGACGTGGAGAAAACCCGGAAAACTCCACGTGGCCAGCCCATTGATGTTTGTTTATGGCAACGCAACACTTGGGCAATCTGCCTAGGGGGAATGCCTTCCGGGAGGTCTTTTTAAGGGAAACTGGCCCCTATTTAGGCGTTACAGACGTGGAGAAAACCCGGAAAACTCCACGTGGCCAGCCCATTAATGTTTGTTTATGGCAACGCAACACTTGGGCGATCTGCCTAGGAGAGATGCCTTCCGGGAGGTCTTTTTAAGGGAAACTGGTCCCTATTTAGGCGTTACAGACGTGGAGAAAACCCGGAAAACTCCATGTGGCCAGCCCGTCCGAATGTTACCAGTTTAAATTGCTGTAATTATGTTAATTATTATACGATAAGTATGTGATGAGCACCAATCGATGGACAAACTGTCGTAGTTTCATCTCCGATTTGCATTCATACGTCTTCTCGTGTAATATTTTTAAGATGCGCTGAAAATGAAAATGGCTACTCCGCAACATAGAAAGCATTTTGTGTTTCGTGAAGGTAAATTAAAGTAGGAATCACTGGTCATTGTACAACAAATAATCTGCAGGAACTGTAGAATTATGGCTACTGTGGGAGAAGTGACAATGAATATGTTGTAGCGAACGTAGGAAGAAGTTGAGTGTCGGTTGGATGTGTCGGTGTGACACGAGGTGCACGAATTGAAAATTGTAATGGAAAAATGTAATGCTTTCTAATGTTTTAATGTACATTACAACATTTTCGGATAATAATTAGCATAATTACGATAACTTAAAATAGCATCATTATTTTTGGAAGTGCTCATATAATCATGGAAATACACGTTTTTGCTCGAGTCTTAGCGATTGTCTATCACTCGATTCCATTGTAATTTCAGTTTGAAGAACTGAACCCGAAGAACGTTTAACATCAAGAATTTATTGAAAATAAAATATTCTAGATAATCTATTCCACATTAAATTGAATATTATAAATGTAATTGTCAATGGCGAAACATTATCAAAATAAACCAAACACGTCGTGCATCGAATTTGCTAATAGTTAATTAAGCATAATTTCCAGAAGTCATTACTCAAAAATCACAGCATGTAACTTCTTAATTTGTTTACTATTTTAGAATTTTACGACCCATTTCTAGAATTCTGGCGATTCTAAAGGAGGTCGCCATTATTGTTCAAATTAAACTATCAAAAATGAAAAATTGCATTTTGTAGCAGTCAAAACATTGGATTCGTCGCATTTTTTAATGTGTCACGCGTATAAAAAAATGAATAACGACAGTTTGTAACCCGATTGCATTTTCCTAGAACAATATAAACGATTTGCTTCGGGCTATCTGGAATTTTGCAATCAATCGTAAATAACGTTCTTTATAGACTTATCACGAAACTCGTGAAATTAAATTATTATATATTATCATTAATTATAATTAATAGGTTTCATTTAAACAAATTTTGAAATATTATTTTCGAAATAAAATGGCAATATTTAAAAATTCTTTAAAATACGAAAATAAATTATAATATTTTGTACTATCGTTCCTCTACTAATGACTCTCTTTTAAAATATGATTTTTTCCCCACTTTTTATTGATAAAATACGTTTAAACAAAATATAACACGACTATTGTTTGTTTATTTTGATAATTATTTTAAAATAAACAAATCGTTTTATAAATATCGATAACGGAATTTAAAAGGAAAATAATCTATATAAAGTATAAATAAATAATATTAAATAAGATTTGTTATCTATTTCAGTTGTAATTTAATCTGTAGCCAAATTTTTGTATATCATAAACAATTTAAAGCAACCATTCGAAAAATAATTGTAAAAAAAGCAATCCGGAAATACCCTTGTCATAAAAAAAGAAAAATGAATGAAACGAAAATGTGAAATAGTATTAATTTTATACATCTATCAATAGTAATAATTAATATTTTTAAAATTTTATTTACAAAATTTCGGTTTTATATACATATATATATAATACTGTAACTAAATAAATAAATCACGTGGTATTTTCTTAAAATTCCAGATGCCGCAATTTGCGGGGGATGACGTCAAAGGGGAATGAGTCACACTTATTGGTGGATGTGCGCCGATGCCGGTTTGTGTGGAAATCGCCCGACAGTGAGTTTTATGAGAAAAGTCCAATTAAGTTTTTCTGGCAGAATAATTGTTATTCGTTCGTTCGTATCGGACAACGAAATCTCGGCGTTTAAATCAGGCATTTAATACTTACATTACCTTAGAAAGAGCGTTATCGGGAAGAAAGATAAAGTTATTGTGTAGTGCAGCTAAGCCTAACTGGAAGAAAACGTGCAGACGACATTTTTGTTATTCCAGAGAAGAGAACAAATGAGACAATGTTGAAGTCGATTGTTTTAAAAGATTATTGTTATCCGCTCGACGAGGTAATCTTAGAAAGGTAGAACTTGTAAAATGTTACCTAGATGAGATAAATTGCATCGGGTAAAAACTTTTATATGTAATATAATATATATATATATATAATCGAGACGAACAAAAATGGCCCAGAGACAAAAAGCTGATAATTCGTTATTGTCTGGTTTGAAATCGAAGTTTAACTCACGTAATTCAAACAACAATACTTCTCAGTACAGGAATGCTGAGTTGGAACAATGCAGTCAAGAACCGGAAGGGTTTGCGCCCTTACTCAATGGGAATCAAGGTAAGTATCATCTAATTTTAAAGTACTGTAAGTTATATTCTCAAAATCTGCCTAGGAGAGATGCCTTCCGGGAGGTCTTTTATGGGTGNTTTGCAAACTACTAATAATAGATGTTTTCGTCGATGACATTCTCTCTGTATACCTTATATAATGTTTTACAGGTTTGTGCTATGTTTTTCCCTTTTTTGAAATAAAACAGCAAAATATGCTGAAAATTCTACTTTTAGAAGTCCATCTTTGAAATTATGTCAAAATTATAAAACAATGCAAATCTTCAAACTTTTTGGTTGAATGTAGTTAAATGTTAGCTATCACAGAACTGCTTTCAAGAAATCAACTGAAATTAGTTATGTTTTAGAGTGCCTGGAGCATAAACTGCATAAACTTTCTGGCCAACTCAATATTATTAAATATTAATTTGTTATAATAATATTTACTGCTATCAAACACTATATTTTACAATAATAATAGTAATATATTTTTAAGCATAATTCTAGACTTATAATACTTTGTTCTCTTTTAATTATATTTTATCAGTTTTTAATTATATATTGATAAAAATTTGTGTGATTAAGTTTTTATGATATGGCAGGATGTTTTTTGAAGGAAAAATCATTAAATGGCATAAATTTGGTACCAATGTAAAGAAATGTATGTTGAATACAATTTGTTTGCTTTAAGAAAATCTCACAACACTTAATAAGAATCATTTCTTACTTAGTGATATCTCAATGGTTAGCAAGAAATTACATCATAAAAAGTTCCTAATATGATAATTTCATAAAGTTGAACCGAATGGCTTGGTTTGGAAAACGCTGATGCCGAGGGATGTGGCTCGTGCCGAATGGGCTTGTGTAGTCCGCAGGCTAACGGACACTTGGTCGGTTGAATTATGGGGGAAGGGCAGGGGCTGTCTCCGTCCTTTCGCCCCTTGGTACTACCAGTATGTTTCGAACAGGAGAATGGAGTCATTACTGGCTCGGTTGCATATGGAGACGGCCCCATTGAATGATTTCCTATATTCCAGACGGCTGCACGACACGCCAAATTGCCCTCACTTCTTGGAGAGGGAAACAGTCGCCCACTATTGGCTGCAATGCTCAAAATTCATTTATAAACCTGGTTTCACTCAATTTATAGTTATGAATTTTTGTTAATATTCACAATTTAGTTTCTATAAATATAAACTTTTTATCTCCACGTTTATTTGAATTAGGGGAAGCTAGACCAAATTTTTTTAAAAATAATGTGAAATAATATCTATGAATACTTAAATTAATACAAACTTTGTACTGTGTGAGATTGAATGCTTTGTTTATTTAGTTATTGGATGATTTTTCTGATGTACTTTTACAAATTTGTAAATCTATAAATAATTAGTTGACGTCTTATCTGTTAGATGATATTTTATCTATATTACAATATTAGAGAGGTTGTGGCCGAAGTTTTCTTCTCTAAAATGTGAACGTCGAGTGGCGTTCGATGTTCGCATTTTAGAGAAGAAAATGAGGCTCCGTGCAGTAAGGATAAACTCTTACTTATAAAATAAAGAATAAATATTAAAAATTAAATGATGTGGAAAATTGCTTTTGTTAAGCATGGTATTTATCTTATCTATATAATGACAACTAACTTATAAATGGAGCTTTAATATTAATATTTTTGTTTTATAATTTTTTATTAGTGAATAATTTAAAAAAGTTTGATTTAACTATTTTTTAAAATACAGTATCTTTATTGAATTAAATGATCTCTTCTAGAACTAATTTCATTAACAAAATTTCTGCTTATCATAACATATGGTTTCTCACTATGATATATTTTAAAAAAATTTTACAAAAGAAATTGTTTGGTAGCATACATACAAAAGTTAAAACTATACCGTGTATTCAGTTGGCCAAAAAGTTGGTTCTTGATATTTGAATAAAGAGCAGTTTATACAAATACAGTAAGACCTTGTTTAACACGGGGCATGGTTCCTAGACGACAAAGCACTAAGCGAAACAGCATTAAACGAGGTCATTTTAACATAGAGTAAATAGGGATAGGGGAACACGTGACCAAAGATAAACAAATTTTACTTTAACTTATTTTTATGTTAATTTGCATAATAATGTGTGTTAAATAACACAAACATATGCACACAGAAATGTAAAGTTCAGTTTTTGTGATGAAGGTCCTGGCTCTTCTGAAATTTTTGTTTTTTGCGATAAAGTTGTGTCGTTTCATTTGTCACTTTTTTTCTTTCCTTACACAAGTGTCGGTAGCAGAAGATTGCATCCAAAACACCTCATTTTGCTTTTGCACTCCTTTCAAAATCTGGACCATTCGCTACAATTTGATCAACGATTTCAGTTACTGTTACCAAACTTTTAGTAAGGAAATCTTAGAGAAATTTTTTGAGTTCTTTGTTTTAAAGATTCTCTATTTTCCAATTCTACATGAATTCCTTTTCTGCCAGTTCTTGAAGGTCGTCGTTGGTAAAGCTCTCACCAGAAACCTGCAGCAACTCCTCAATATCCTGCTTGTCTATATCTAGTTCTACTGTATCGATTAGGTTGACAATTTGGTCAACGATAGGCCCTTTCTCGTTGAGAATTCTTGGATACCTTCAGCCATAACTTCTGCACTTTGTTCATGCATTTATCAGTTAATTCTTGCCAAGCGAAGTCGAAATTGCTTATGGCATCTGTGATGATATATTTTTTCCAAAATTGCACCAAACATAGATTTAAGGAAAGTATAGTGCTATGACATTGCCACCTTTTGCTGATTGGTTCATGTTTGGGAATAATCATATTATATACAAATCAATAAAATGCTGCGATAATTTAAATCAGCATAACTTTTGAGCCTTTTTTAGGGTTTGAGCAGACCGTGTTATATCAAAACAGCATTAAGCAGGGTCTTACTGTTTGTATTCTTTAGGCTATGGTTACTGTGATGTGAATTCTGATGAAATCTTCCGAACAAACAAAATACCTGTTTTCCAATGAGAGTGTTTACTTTGGCAATGAAGGGCATGTCAGAACATACATGCATGATGTAGTCAGAACCATTTGAACATTCAGATGAGTTTGATTTTTTCATGCGTTCTGATGTTGAATTTCAAGTATTTTGGTTTTTTCAACATGGATATTGGTAAATTGATTAGTCTTGTGTTCGAGAATAGGTATTTGTGGGACATGAAAGACAAAAACTATCACAACAGAGATATCTCTCATTCTGAAATACTCGAAAAACTTTTGTGGGTTGTTCCACAAATCTTGATATAACATTTGGAACTCTCCCTTATTATCTCTTGTGGAAAATAAGTGGTTAACATGCTCTGTTTACTCACCACCTATCAACCATAACTTAATCAATAGACTTTCAAGAAAATAAAACTCATCAAGTTCGTCCATTTTGCTGGAAGGCAGAAATATACTGACTACCAGAAAATGTGCACAGTGTACCCACCTTGTTCTGATGAGGATTTCGGACATACTCGTCAGAATTCACATCCACAGTAACTGTAGCCTTATGTGGAAGAAAATATCTTTATTCAGTAATGTAATAAGAATAATTTCAATTAAATACTTCACTTGGTTTTTCTCCTGTGGTGCATTTTGGAGTGAAAAATGCATGAACAAAATTTTGCAAACTACTAATAATAGATGTTTTCGTCGATGACATTCTCTCTGTATACCTTATATAATGTTTTACAGGTTTGTGCTATGTTTTTCCCTTTTTTGAAATAAAACAGCAAAATATGCTGAAAATTCTACTTTTAGAAGTCCATCTTTGAAATTATGTCAAAATTATAAAACAATGCAAATCTTCAAACTTTTTGGTTGAATGTAGTTAAATGTTAGCTATCACAGAACTGCTTTCAAGAAATCAACTGAAATTAGTTATGTTTTAGAGTGCCTGGAGCATAAACTGCATAAACTTTCTGGCCAACTCAATATTATTAAATATTAATTTGTTATAATAATATTTACTGCTATCAAACACTATATTTTACAATAATAATAGTAATATATTTTTAAGCATAATTCTAGACTTATAATACTTTGTTCTCTTTTAATTATATTTTATCAGTTTTTAATTATATATTGATAAAAATTTGTGTGATTAAGTTTTTATGATATGGCAGGATGTTTTTTGAAGGAAAAATCATTAAATGGCATAAATTTGGTACCAATGTAAAGAAATGTATGTTGAATACAATTTGTTTGCTTTAAGAAAATCTCACAACACTTAATAAGAATCATTTCTTACTTAGTGATATCTCAATGGTTAGCAAGAAATTACATCATAAAAAGTTCCTAATATGATAATTTCATAAAGTTGAACCGAATGGCTTGGTTTGGAAAACGCTGATGCCGAGGGATGTGGCTCGTGCCGAATGGGCTTGTGTAGTCCGCAGGCTAACGGACACTTGGTCGGTCGAATTATGGGGGAAGGGCAGGGGCTGTCTCCGTCCTTTCGCCCCTTGGTACTACCAGTATGTTTCGAACAGGAGAATGGAGTCATTACTGGCTCGGTTGCATATGGAGACGGCCCCATTGAATGATTTCCTATATTCCAGACGGCTGCACGACACGCCAAATTGCCCTCACTTCTTGGAGAGGGAAACAGTCGCCCACTATTGGCTGCAATGCTCACAGAGACATGGGCGAGGCTCTGAAGGTCAATTTGACGACTAACAGTACACTGATGTTGATATGAGCCGTCAACGAAGATAGCTCCCCGCCACCTAGTGGTGGCGTTAGAAACCTATGTCGCTCGAACATAGTGGTTTAAGTAACCATACCAGAGAGAAGGCACGTCGGAAAAAGAGCCTAAGAAGAGCTATACTTTCCATATAAACTGAGAAGAAGAATTTCATAAACTTTTGCATTACAGGAAAAAAAAAACTGGACAAAATTTTCTGATTGTTTTAAGTATGGAATACAACTGGAAGATAGTGTTTGTTTTAATTCCAGATTTTGAAAAACCTCATATGCAGTAAATAT